GTATCAAGCTGTTGTTGACACAGTACATGCGTTCTACCGACACCGCGACGTTAGTCAACTCAGCGAATGGGGTACGTCGTGTTGCGCTGGCAAGACGTGAAAGGCTGGGACAAACTAGAAGGAACTCTGCACTCCATCCCGCCACCGTCGTGCGTGTTGCCAGGAATCGAGATTGGGAATCAAACAACGTCGTGGATTCTCGACGTATTCGCTCCCTCGACGAACTAATGGTTCCAAAACCCGTGGACAAGGCAGACGGTGTATCGTGAGTGTTGGTCGAATGCAGTCTTCATAATGTAAACGCGAGCGACCACCGTGAAGTGATGGTCGACATGTCTCCACCCGCGCGATATGACCATATTTTCGATTCCACTCAGCACCAAACACGATGGACACACAAGCCATCCAGTTCGGCATGATGGCATCCCTTCGCACCAACAACATCATCGTGGACACACTCGTGTGCATGCTGATTCCAGCCCTGTTTACGGCGCTCGCCAATTCATCGACGCACTTTGGAACGTTCGTGGGTGTGCTGCGTCAGTACGTTGGGCGTCGTGACAGCCCTAGTGTCGTGCGCAAAATCGAAACCAAACAAGCGTTCAACACGTGGGGCAAGGTCCACGACTCGGACGAGCACAACCATATTCTTCAAAAAGCCATCTCGATCTACCTCAGTCAGCACTTGGACTTGAAAGACCAATCGGGGCGGTACGAGCTACTCGAGTCGGCCGCACCCGACAGCTCCACCGACCAAGACGACGACCACTCGTCCGAAGACAGCTACAACGACTGGAACGCGCCTGACGAGAAAGACCAACTCAAGAAACTGCAAGTCGGGGCGTTGCCACCTTTGAATGCGTGGATCCAAGTCGAAGACCAACTCTGCTTCAAACACGAGGTCGTCTCTGACGAGGGAAATCCTGGGAAAGGGCAGCTGCCCAAACAGTCCACCGTGACGTTCTACTTGTCGAGCACCGCATCCAACGCATCCGAGCGTATTGACGCATTCGTCGAGCGAGCGTACGCCAATTACCAAGAGCTGGTCCTGGCCAAGCACAAGCAAGACAAGGCTCGGTACTTATACATCGCAGACTCGGCCTCCAACAACAACGTGATCCCTCTGTACAAGCGGTACGCGTTGGGCGAAGACAAGACGTTCCACAGCTTGTTCTTCGAGGAGAAGGAGTCGTTGCTGCACTTGCTCGACAACTTTGCCACCAAGAGCGGCAAGTTCGGCATCCCCGGGTTCCCGTACAAGATGGGTCTCTTGCTGCACGGCCCCCCCGGCACGGGCAAAACCAGCCTCATCAAGGCCATCGCGCAGCACACCAAGCGCCACATCGTCAACATCTCGCTGAGCAAGATCAAGACGAACCAAGAGCTCATGGACATGATGTTCGACCTCAAGTTTGGCATCCAAGGCGAAGACTTGCCCATCAAACTGGCCTTCGACAACATCGTGTTTGTCATGGAAGACGTCGACTGCGCCTCGAACGTTGTGCATGCGAGAACAAGTGTCACGAACGACATGTCGGGGGCTGCAACCACCACCACCACAGACATCGAGTCGCTGGACGACGCAGCGCTGAGCAAGGCCCTGTCGGACATTATCAAGAGCAGCGGCACGAACGCTTCCAAGTGCGAGTCCAAGGACAAACTCAACTTGTCTGGGTTGCTCAACGTGCTGGACGGCGTCGTGGACAGTCCAGGTCGTATCCTCATCATGACGACCAACCACCCGGAGAAGCTCGACCCGGCGCTTGTCCGACCAGGCCGAGTCAACAAGAAGCTCTTCCTCGGCCACATGACGGCTCGGCAAGCGCAACTCATGATGGAGCACTACTTTAAGACTGCCCTCGACCCCAAACAACGCCTAACCGTCGACGAGGCGTTTGGCTCCAGGTCCGTGTCCCCTGCCCAAGTTGAGCAATTATGTGCTGAATACGACGACGTCGGCGACGCGCTTGCGGCGCTCACCAACCTGTAGACAGCATTGTACATTAAGCCATATTTATGACACATCCCCCACCGAACAATCAACGACCAAACAATCAACGTTGTTGAGGCGAAGTTCGGCCAGTTATACGCTTACAATTTAGAAGAAGCTTCGGACAACGTTGCAATACTTGACTTGCAGCAAACTGTGGACAAACCCAAACGATCCAACCTACACACAGATTCGGGTGGTGTAGCAGCGACTTGGAGCGCAGAGTGCCACAGTAGGTAGTTCTGGCTGACATGATATCGGTTGTGGTGTGTATGCTATAATAGTTGCCCACACTCCCTCTGAGCACGTAATAGAGGCATGTAACGACGGTTCTTGACAGCTTCAGCAACTCACACTGCGCGAATCTGTGTGTAGGTTGGATCGTTTGGGTTTGTCCACAGTTTGCTGCAAGTCAAGTATTGCAACGTTGTCCGAAGCTTCTTCTAAATTGTAAGCGTATAACTGGCCGAACTTCGCCTCAACAACGTTGATTGTTTGGTCGTTGATTGTTCGGTGGGGGATGTGTCATAAATATGGCTTAATGTACAATGCTGTCTACAGGTTGGTGAGCGCCGCAAGCGCGTCGCCGACGTCGTCGTATTCAGCACATAATTGCTCAACTTGGGCAGGGGACACGGACCTGGAGCCAAACGCCTCGTCGACGGTTAGGCGTTGTTTGGGGTCGAGGGCAGTCTTAAAGTAGTTGTCAAACACGATGTTGTCGAAGGCGAGTTTGATGGGCAAGTCTTCGCCTTGGATGCCAAACTTGAGGTCGAACATCATGTCCATGAGCTCTTGGTTCGTCTTGATCTTGCTCAGCGAGAT